TAGATAGATGAGATAGGTAGATGAGAGAAAGAGAGAGAAATAGAGATGATAGACAAATAAATAGGTAGGTATGTAGGTAGATAGACAAGACAGATAGACAATAAAGACAGAGAGAGACAGATAGACAATAAATAGATAATAAGTGGATAGACCGAGGTGAATAGGGAGATGGATGGGTGGGTGAATAGAAAGAAGGTATGAAATGGAACATGAATAGAGGGAAGAAACAGAAGCACAGAGGGAGAAAGAGAGAGAGATGGAGAAATAGATAAACAGAAAAGGGAAGATGGAGAGACAGAATGAAGGAAGGCAGGCGAATAGATGATAGAGAGATGGAGGAGAGAAAGCAAGGAAGGAGCATCTCCAGCAGCCCAATTCGTACACGAAGGGGAAGCCCTACAAATCTTCTGCTCCCACGTGCTTTCACACCCGATTGCTCCCACGTATTTTCAGGAAATGGCAACCGGAACAGGGGGCTTCCCTGAAGGGACCTTCTGCCCCTTCATGGCTGCCGTTACCACATTCCTGCATAATTTGGCATCTCCCAGGCGCACCACCACCGCCTTCCTCCCGCCTGGGCCAGAAATCCTCGAAGGAGATAGAATGATAAGGGAGGGAGGGGAAAGAAGACGCACCTCTACGGTTGCCGAGGTATCAACTGTGGAATTTCCATTATTATTGCTCAGGTGTGAAGACACAGTCTCGTTTTTGCCTTCCGTGTCCGACTTCTCATCAGAGCTTGTGCATTCCATGTCTGCGTCGAAGCCGGTGGGGTAACCCATCGCTTGCAACACCTGTGGCGGATCGCATAGCGGGAGACCTTCTTCATTGGGCCAAGGTGCGCCGAGCCAGGGATCCCCAACCCGCCCCAGCCCCCCCCCAACCCTTACGACAAAGACGCCCAAGGTCTCGCAGAGAACCTGGTTGGGCTCACCTTCACGGCCACGTGAAGCTTGGCCGTCTTCTTGGAAGGTCCTGAGGCTTCATAGGTCGTCCCGTCCACATCGACCGACATGGTGAAGACCGGCGCATGGACAGGCCCCGACTGAGAGAGCAGCTTGTACTGCAGGCCAGGCCGGATCTGATTCAGCCGCATCAAGGCATTCATGAGGTCTATTGCTTTGCTATCAAGGACTGTCGAGGAAGGAAGCCACAAGGCAGAGACAGACTAAGAAGGAGAGAAGCTGGGATGGCCTACGTATCATCACAAAATCTCCAGAACCGTAAAGCCTACAAACTTGAAATGTTCCTCTTCGCTTCTAGGGGATCACTAAGAAAGGATTTTCCTAAATGACCATCAGAGCATTAGGATTTCCTATATTATTATCATTATTAACACGCTCTGATGCTAAGGAGTTCTACTCTCCCTCCCCACCTGAAAAGAAATCTCTTCCAAATGCAGAGAAGAGTTTCAGTTTCAGTTTTACTTTCACAGCAGCAACCAGCTTTAGTACAGAATAGTTGGCTCCTTGCTGTCTCCTTGCTCACATAGTAAATACTGCTTCAGTTTCCAAACAGCCCTCCTCTCTCTCACACACTAACAGGACTCTAGCCAAATGAACACTGATGGATGCTGGTAGGCAGAGGCAGAATTTTTCCCCTTTATTTTCCTCCCCAAAAACTAAACCCGACCACATAGTTTCGTAGTGAAGCATGGGTATTCAGCTAGTCACTTTATATTATTGTCTGAACATAAGAACTGAATAGGCTAATGTTTTCCAGAAGCATCCTTTCCTTTCCCCTTTCCCTTTCCTTTTCCTATCTTCCTTTCTTTTTTCTATCTTCCTTTCCTTTTCCTTTCCTCCCTTTTCTTTCATTCTTTCTGTTTCTTTCTCTTTCCTTCCTTCCTTCCTTTTGTCATTCATTCATTCATTAATTCATCTAATTTATTTATTTGTTAAATTAAATTAAATTCTCTTAAACCACCTCTCAGGCAAAATTTGAAATTTGTTTTGAAAGCTAGCATCCAGCATTTGTAAAAAAAAAAAAAAAGTAATGGTTTTATCCAAATCCAAAGTGACTATGCCGAAGTTTGGAAAAAAAGAATCTAGTAATCTTTATACAGAGAAAACAGGGATGTTTGAGTTTTATTTGTTTACTAGAGAAAAGCCAAACATGTGAAATCAGAGCTGACTGTGGCCAATTCAAGGCTCAGAATTAGCATCTGCTGCTAAGCACTGCAACTATTTAAAGGACCCATTTAGTGACCACAATTGGAACCGGCAACTCAGTCATGAAGCGAAGCGATTGTTCAGTGAAACCATGACTGGGTTCACAGTCTTACTTCCACTTTCCTTTGTGTTGTAAACTTGTCGTAAAATGTAAGCAACTTTTTCCATCCCCGTCGTCACCTGCAAA